TTTTTCGATAACAATTTTCAATTCCAAAAGGAATTCTGAAACAATTCTACACAAAATTCCATATCATAATAGAACAGTCAATTTTATTTTAGTTCCGGGATTTTTCTCAAAATTTTCTTTAATGGCAACGTTTCCACTGTAACTACAAATAACCAAAAAAAATTTAGTCAAATCGGCCCAGCCGTTCTCAACTGATGTGTTACTATACTTTTTCAAATTGTTTACATATAAATTTAACGAAGTAGGTGTCGCCAGTTCCTCTGACCCCAAACAGATACCTAGGGTTGGAGGAAGAGTCAAGATTACGTCTTATACTAACTGTGGAACAGATGTCTTCATGATTCTGGCAAATATTAGGATTTTAGATAAATCGAAAAATGGGCGCAAAATTGGGTGTGGTCCCTTTTCCTTTGCATAAAAACCTAAATACGTGTAGGATACTTAGGATTGAAGGGAAAGCTTCATATTTGACTAATGTAAGGATTTTAGATAAATGGAAATAGTGGTCGTAAAAGTAGACGTGGTCAAAAAGTCGGCCCAGCCGTTCTCAACTGATTCCATTACCATTTCATATATATATATATATATATAAGTCAATTGTTGTTCGTTGGTAATGGAATCAGTTGAGAATACTATCTATTTAAAATCTATTGATCATTTAAAAACAGAATTATGTTAGATTTTATTGTATACCAAAATCTACATAAAAATATAAATACTTGAAATCGACAAGCATTTTACTGACAGGGTCACTCAGCGCATAGTTTTAGCGATGTAAGTTAGTAAGTTACATGTAAGCAAAGGCTATAGTCGTGCGGGACCGACCATGTGATACCCAATAACACTAGAATATGTTGAAAGGCCCCTAATATCCAATTCCATTTTGGAAGATTTCGTTCTGTTATCATGTCAAAAAGCCGTTCTCTTAACTTTTTGGCCGGTGCATTTCCAAAATATTTACGCATTTCCAAAATATTTAGTTATTCAAAACAATTTCACACAAACGTTGTCCGTTTTACAGCTAAATATAATCCAATGGTCATCCAAAATGCAAGACTTTTTCCAGGTGCTTAACTCTCTTCTACACACAATTCAAAATTGTAAGTCAAATTGAAAAAAATAGCATGCGATGACAAAAATTGAAAAAGTGAAACAAAAAATGTTCACTTCTTTATTGTCATATTTTACGCGATTTTCTTAAATATTATTCTTTTCTGGCAAGAGACCATTCCGAATGGATGAGAATTGTGAACAAAAACCGGTTCATGACTTATAAGGAGAATAACTAAGATATATTTCTTTTACATATTTATTGTACCTATTTTGCTATATATCCGATTTCTTGGTTATCAGCATCACTTTAATGGTCATATGTGACCCTTTAATGTATTTGTGATTTGGATGGGATTAAACATATTCACGGTTTAGTGGAAATTTTCGTATTTTCTTAAGAAAAGTTAGGATCTATATTTTCCGATGGCCGCCCAAATTGGTAGGATTCGCGTCGATTGGTTCATGATTGTGACCTATAGAGCAACTTTGCAGTCACGAAAATGTTCTTTTGTTTGGTCCATTTCAATCCAAATCTTTTTTTTGGTCCATTTCAATTGCAAATCATCTCCAAAAACAATAGGGTTTGTGAGGATCGGACCATAATTGCGACCTGTAGCTTGATTACAAATTAACATGGACAGACGGACAAACATAGCTAGATCGATTCAACTCAATGAGATAGGAAGATCCATTCATAGGTTTATATGTCGGGGACCAATATTTCGAGGTGTTACATAATTTTTGGCTCAATCAAACTTATAATACTCCAACACATGGTGTTGTAGGATATAAACATTGATAATATCTACTAGTTATAAAGAGGGCATTTATTCTAATAGACGAAATAAGAAAATCAGATGGTACAGTACCGTTAAACATTTTTAACATCATTATACAGTTAAACATAATGCGTCTACTTTTTAATGAAGATAATCGAATTAACCTGCTGAAATAACCTGCTTATATAAGAGGGTAAAACAAAATTATTATTCCAATTGAAACCTCATAAAGCAAAAAGCAGGAATTGCTTCTGTACGGACTCGATTTTATCGGAATAGAGAGTATATTGGGGATCCCACACAGAGGAACGATATTCTAATATTGGTTTAACAAGAGACGAATATATTTGTTTAGTTACATATGGATCAGAAAATTCTTTGGCCCAACGTTTAATAAAACCTAAGACACCGGCTGCTTTATTTATTATAGAAATAGTATGGTTATTTAAATTTAATTTCCATCCGTCCATAATTTCCGTCAATCAAAAGCCCGAGATCAGTGAATGAATTTACTGTTGATAACACATATCCAATTTTACTATAATGATTTAATATAGGGTTAGATCTGAAAAAAAAAAAAAACACATATGCTTACATGTTTTTAAATTCAACTCCATGCCATTGAGATGACACCAATTAAAAAGATATTTAAACCTCTTTGCAGTAAGTCAACATATATTTGAGATGTTAAGTCATGTCAAACCATGTTGAAATGGACGTAAGTTAGATTTGACTTTATGAGAAATTACATTAGTAATTAATTATTCAAACAACTTTGGAATGGCACTCAACTTTGCAATTCCTCTATAATTGGAAACTTCATGGCCTAGCACAAATAGCGTGGTATAAACAGAAAAATGTTAAGTGCCTTGTAAGCTTCCCTTTCTGTTATGAACACGTAAAATTTTGTTTCGATCTGGCAACTCCTTCATTTAGAAAGACGCATCCGCAATTTTTTTACAATTGAAAAATTAGAAATGCGTGCTTTTGTTAAATATTTATTTAAAAAATGTTTATCGGGACAAGAAATTCATAATGATATGGTGAATGTGTTAGGTGAAAGTGCTCCTTCATATGCAACAGTAAAAAATTGGATTGCTGAATTTAAACGAGGTCGTACAAGCATTGAAGATGAACCACGTAGTGCACGTCCACAAGAGTGTTTAAACAATGGCTAAAATCAACGAATTAAAGTACGAGTTGCTTGACCACCTACCTTATTCTCATGATTTACCTCCTAGTGACCTACTTGTTCCCAAACCCTTGCTGGCAAGCGTTTTACGTCAAATGAAGATGCAATTAAAGTTGTAAACCACAATTTTTTTAGACCTTGAGGAAAACTATTTTAATTAAGGGATAGAATTGCTAGAATAGCGTTGGTGTATTGAAGTTTCAGGAGATTATATTGAAACATAAAACTATTTTTGAGAAACTAACAATTCTCTTTCATTGATAGGCTACGAAGTTTCCGAACTGCCCAGTCCAGAGAATGTACATTTGTGTCCCATCCTTTTATCTATATTTGACTACTTTTTTATTCCAAAGTCGAAATTCGTGGGGTTGTAGTTAGCAACAAATTTATTTATTGCTCACACATCATTGTTATTGCCACATCATTATGTAAGATCCTAGTATATTCAATTCGGAAAGAATTCGACGAGCTTCAATGCATTCCTTGCCGCTTGAATGCTTTCCACAAGATACAGTGATTAGAGGTTGAGGATTACAGTTCAGCCGGGCTAACAACCGGATTATTGTAAGAAAAAAGATATGGATGCACTGCGTAATGCGCTTACTAACATTGGTTAACAAATCGATTTTCCGTTAAATAAATCGTTAAGTAATTCGTTACAGATTTCTAATTTCTTAATGGGATTCGAAAGTAAACATATTGAAAGTAGGGAAACCAAAAAATTAGCTCATAATATTAGAAGATGTCGGCGTGTCGTGCTCCTTAAAATTACATTTTTTATTAGGTAGGCTCCTTTTAAGAATTTTAATAAATTACGGTGGCGTTTGCTGCAGATTAAATGTATTATTTTTTCTTAGGTACTAAAATGTTATTGAAATTTCACCTGTAGAAATGTATGTTTTTTCTTAATGTTTTACCTGCATATGGTCTCATAATAAACCAACCAAAACAAAGGACGGGAAATACAAATCATGAGACTACAGCTAAAAGGTTATTTTCAGATACCACAAGGGCATCTGCATTAAATGAATAAAAACTACAACATAAAGAATCAAATATTCAATATTTTCAGGAAATACACTGAAAGAATGCTTGTTTTTGTAAATAAAACGTAAGAAAAAATCATCTGCAAATTTGAAAATATTAAAAAACTCAAAAGTCGAAATTTGGCCTTGAATTCTTCTGGAACTTTTAAACCGAATTTTATCGTTTTTCATTCAGTGGAAAGCTGAAGAAAAAAACATGCATTCGTTCAAAGTTTACAGAAAAATGATTTACAAGAAAAACGATTCTAAACAACTGGGCGGCGAACTTTTCAGTATAGTATGGTTGAAACTCCCAGCATTGTGCAAAAAATTAACGATATTGATTTTTGTCGCCCAAAAACTTTGTTTTAAACAATATTTTGCATAATTTACTCTTGTACATTTTCTAATAATATGTTTTGGTTCCTTTCATTCCTCTAATGTTGTCATACTAACACAGAATAATGAGGTCGAGGATTTCTTCACTTGTAACTCCAGTCCGTCTTTGTATACCACTGGCGGTTTCAATACCCTGGACTTGTCGATTATTAATAGCACTTGTAGCAGAAGCGACAAAAGCTTCCAACGCAGACACACCTGAGGTCGTGTGAACGCAATAGCTGGATATCTACGGTAGCAATCAGATATGCTCCCCGGTTCAAGTCTGTCTAATATCATCAGAATACAGAATAATAATATTCGGATATATCGCTATATGGGGACAATAAAAAACTAAATAATTATCTGCGAAGTGGTTGGTGTCTATTGAGAACATCAAAAATCGAATTGAAAAGTTCCATTACGAACTTATAATGACTAGACATAATTTATAATTTTGACTAGACATAATTTATGAATATTAAGTTTTGCATCACATAAGTGTATTTAGCGAGATATCTAATTGTGTACAAGATGGACATATTTATAATATTGTATTGTTTTAAATTGCAGGTATTTTAAAGGATATTCCGAAGCCTGATGTTTATTTGACGTTATCAGTGAATCCAGAAGATATTAATCAGGTATGTTATCTCGTGTTATTAAAACCTATCCACATCTGACACGTAATTTTTTCTATTAGAATAGTTTCTGAAAAATAATTGACCATGTGACGCCATATATGTTGAGTACTTTTATGTTGATTTCATTCTTTTCATATGACCAGAATTAATACAGAATTAATCAATATTAAAAGTGAAGGTTATGTATTCACGTAGAAAATGGCAGTTTCCAGGATGACATTTAGCCAGGTGGGAATACTTCTCCAATGCGAAGCCATACACCGCATTCGAGAGCTACTTTATATTTATATAATATAATGTTCGTCCTAATTTTTATTATGAAAAGGGCTTAGATTTTCAAAGTAATCTCCGTCATAATTTAAGCACTATTTCATGCATTAAAAAAATTGTCGCCACTGTGGTACATTTGCCACATGACGAGTTTGCTCGATGTGTTTTCATTAAACTTGCTTTTCACAGTGCTATAGGATGAAAATCCATCTTTTGATTGAAAAAAATTATCTCACGGATTTATTCGAAAGTTTATTCCACTTTTGTTCATAAATTAATTTTTTTAGTCTACTATATCGAAACAATATTTTGTATTCACATATTGATTGGCACATTTGTATGTGATTTTTTAGCTACTAACATGACTTTCATTTACTAAATAGATTTCATAACTATCCGAAATTTGCCAAGTTTCAAAACAAATTGTCTAATTTACATCTACCAAAAAAATCCTGCGAAAGGACGCAATTTTAATTTTTTTTAATATTTTTTCCACTAAGAACTATAAATTTTTCCATTCGAAAAGTTATTCCGATCCAATTCAAGACGAAATTCCAAATCAAATAGCAACTTGATATTTTTCTAATTTGCAATTTTTTGGAGGCTTTTTTTTTCCAAATTTTCTTTCGTAAGTAAGTACAAACAACTCAAAGGAACTTTAAATCAATTCTGTACAATAATTTGCAATTGATGCGTTACAATACCTGTTACCGATATAGAGTTCGCTTGTATTTTGCTAGATGTTTGATAATTTTTTTTTGAAAAATGTAAAACGATATTCTGTATCTTGTTTTTATACCCTCCACCATAGTATGGTCATTTTAGTCATTCCGTCTCATCGAAATAATGATCTTAGACCCAAAAAAAAAAAAAAAAAAAAAAAAAATGAAATGAAGAAATGTGTGTTTAGGCTACTTTGGTAGAGAACCATCTTACATGGGAGTATTATGAACAGTTGATGTATACTGTTTAATAAATGTACTATATTATTTGGAAAATCAGGATCAGGTTTTGTGCCATTTATGTGGGCCAGATGTGTGAATTATTATGCTTTAAAAACTATGCGTTAAAGACTAAAACTAAAGACTAAAACTAAAGATATATATATATATATATATATATAGCGACATTATTCACTGCAATTGTTTCAAATTTGGCATTTGAAGTTCGAAGTGGATACTACAGACTGAGACAGAAAATTGTCTGTGCAAGTCCACGTCTTCGTGTAGCCCCCATATAACGGTACCTCCCAATATTCGGTATTTTGATGATTTTAGCGTCATTATTCAGTAGTAGTTTCAAATTAGTATTTAGAGTTCGTAATGGGAACTACAGTCTGTGACAGAAAATTGCCTATGCAGGTCCAGGTCTTCGTATATGCCCCATATATCAGTACCTCCTTATATTCGGTATTTTGACGATTTTAGGTACAATACTCAACGAAATAGTTTGAAATTTCGTACTTAAAGTTCGTAATGGAAGCTACAGCCTGTGACAAAAAATTGTCTATGCAGGTCCAGGTCTCCGTATAGCTCCTATATAACGGTACCTCCCTATGTACGATATTTTGATGATTTTGGCTTCATTATTCACAGTTTATTTCAAGTTTCGAATTTGAATATGGTAATGGCTTGTGACAAACAATGCTTATGTGGGTGCACGTCGTACAGGCCCAAATATAAGGGCTATATTCGGTATTTTTAAAATGCTAACAGAATTCTTGGCGAATGTTATCTTTTTCGAAAAGATTCAAACTTACTGTTTTTTTACTTGTTGTTCTTAGATATTATATTTTAGTCAAATTTATCTAGTATATATTCTTGATCAACATAATATTCTAAAGTGACCACCGTTTTATCTGGCCGTCCGTCTGTGATAATCACGTTAGCTTCTAACGACTTATGAGATGTAGCTTAAATTTCGCACCAAGCTTATATTTCATCTGCAGCAGGTCAAATTCGAAGGTTGGGTTTATGAGGGCTATACGAAAACGTGGAAAGATATATCTCATTAATTACCACAAATTCTCATATCAATACAAATTATTCTGTCAAATTTTGAAGCTCTACGTCAAATAATACGGGGTTGTATCGTGATTTCAACAGACAACCATACGGACGGACATCGTTAAATCAACTTAGAATTTTATGATGATAATGAATATATGCAGGGTGAGATGAAAAATCTGCAACTAAATTCAGACTGCTATCATTTCTAAGCCACTCGTCCGACATCTGTTAAAATTATTCCGGTGACAGCTCATTATATTGTTTACAAGCGTAGAAAAGCATTAAGAATTTCAAATACGAAGTTTTATACAATTCTGCTATATAATGTCGCTAAAATCGTAAAAATATCAAATAAAGGGAGGTACCGTTATATGGTGGCTATACGAAGACCTGGACCTGCATATGCAATTTTCTATCATGGTCTTTAGTACCCATTAGGAACTTCAAATAAGAAACATGAAACAATTCCGGTAATAATGTCGCTAAAGTCATCATAATACCGAATATAGTTATATGGGGGCTATACGCAGATCTGGATCTGCATATGCATGTAGCACACATTAGAAACTTTAAATTCCAAATTTAAAGCATTTCCGGTGCCGAATACCGAATATCTGGGGCCTATACCTAAACTAAGACAGTTCTATGCAAGGATGTTTCTCACATAATGGGAACACATGCTGCGAAATTACAGCTAATTCAGATTAAAATGGCGACTAAAACACCAACAAAAAAGTAAAATTTTGTCAACTCTGTTTATAAGTGCGTTTGTAAGATTAAGTCTTCTTGCCCAAAGAATTTTAGTTTAGTATAATTTTTTTGTTCTTCTTCTATTGAGCTTACGATCTCGTCACTTGGTTAAAAAAGTTTTTGTCATAGGAGTTATTTTAAAATAACTCCTGGGGGAATATCCCCAGACAAAAACCAAGGGAACTGATGAGAATTGGTGGTTCTTTCCGAAACTAAGGTATTCTCTGTCTTGCCCCTTGTAAACATTACCATTTTTCTCCACTAATAAGCAAACGTTGGTTTTATAAAAACAACAATAATGGAATTAAGATTATTTTACCACAACATAACAATACGGTATCCCGAACAACCATGCCAACCATGTTCTAGAAAAAAGTGTTGTTTGTTTGTTGTGTGAAAATACATAAGATTAAATTTGCGGTATAAATTCATCACACAAGAACTAACACCACCGAAAACGTTTTCTTAAGATGAAGGATTTGATATCTTTATCGTTATATGTTAAAGTCCAAGAACAGATCAATAAATGTGGTATTCCTAAGATATGGAACGTAAAACTTTTTTTACGTGCCAATGAACGCCGACAATAAAATAATATTTGTTATTTTTGTAACATATTTTAGATAAGAAAATATATCTTACTTTCTGAACCCCGTGCGTTTCGCTACCACTTTGGATTTTATATGCATTCAATATTTTATATACGAATATTTGTTGGTTTTAAAAAAATAAAACAAACTTAAAAAATTTAAATACGTAATTATTGTAACATGTGAAAAGCAGGAACATGCGAAACTTAGTCCGCATACACGAAGGGTTTGTCCTTCGGATTTATTAATTTCATAGCAAATGCAAAGCGTGCATGAAACTGCAATCTTTTGAAGTTGAGTGGCATTTCTGTTGGAATTAAAGAATTCGAGGTAGCAATATACATCCCCATAATAATGGTATTGTAAAACCGGGATCATTAAAAGACGCAAAATCTTTTCCATTTGAGCGTTTGTAAGACACTGAATTTATTTATTAAAAACACATCTTAAGAACTAGTTGTGATAATATGACTTAACCTAAATTATAATTAAGTGAAAATGAGAGAAAGAGAGAGATACCAACCGTACACATACATATGCACCATGCCACCATAAACCTTAGGGGGAAGTCATACACACGCATATATATCTGACATGTGGCAAGCAAACATGCTGCACTTGCATATCAGTCTGAGTAAAGATTACATCTTATTTTATTTATTTCTAACTCGAAGGTCTGCTCGCCACATTTTCTTATCTTATTTCATGTGGACTGTATTAAGAAGATCCAAATTTAACAAATCCCTCTCATCTACACTAGGTAGCCCCGCTATTCTCTTTTATTATAAAAACATGTTCACTTATCCGTGAACATTCTTGGCAGGGGCAAAAATACATATAAAATATAAAAATTACAAATATGAACAATAAAACAGATCTAAGATAATTGACATATTAAGAGAAAAGAAGTTAAGTTATAGCACCCAAGTAAGTCCACCATCTTTCCAGCCTGTTTCTCTTAAAGGTTCCACCTCCCTTGTCTGCCGGCTTCAATTTCCAGGCTGAATCCATTTTATGTGTTGTTTTCTTTCTGTGACCAAAGTTCTCATCCTTCTCTGGCAGCGCCATCTTACCGACTTTGGACAGTTTATCGTTCCAGTGTTCATAATTTTCTGTCACTCCGGCTTGTATTTTATTCGCTGCACCACTTCCACTAGACATCTTCATCACAACTTGACCGTCTTCCAACATCTTATTATTCCAGCGACGCAGATTGCTTTTCTTCTTAGTTTTCATCTCGCTGTCAAATAGCTTATCTTCGACTTCTTCCAATCTCCCTGTGTCCAGTTTTCCAGGGAGCTGTTCATCTACCTTTTCCAAAGTTGATTCTCTTTCGGCAATTGGGTCTTCCATATAAACCTCTTGAACCATAATTTCTTCG